TAGTTTATGTTAAAGATAAAAAAGTTTTTCGCAGATCTTATTTCAAAACTTAAGTCAAACTTACTGTACTTACCGTTCGATGGGGAATTCAAATCAGAATGAGAGTCAAATTCTAGGCTCTAGTAGCTAAAACAACATCTGTTTCAAATAACAATGACGTACGCATTGTCAGACTTTCGAACCATGGGATACGCTTTCAGTTTCGACTGGTCACGGAGTCCGTCTTATATATCTGTACAAGCTACTGAAAACTATTTCGAATTGAAGAGATGCAGCGAGAAGTTGTCCGACATTTCCAACCGTAGCGGCTATAAAAACGGCTATACTGCCATTTGTTTAGCCTATCGGTTATTTTGAGGCATTCAGTAGTACGGTCTTATATTTTTGCGTATAATAGCATCTGTTATCTGTCATTGTTGGCACGTTTCATTTTTTTCCTCGTGTTTCAGTTTTCATTCGTAATTTAAGTCACAATTACACATTTTTGGTACATGTTTTTCTTCTTAATATATACTGTACATACATGTATGACTCAAACAGGGATGTTGGGGCGTATTTTGAATTGAGGTGGGGGGAGGCCTTCAAGCGAGCGCAAGAGGCGCTAACTTGTAGGGGGTCTGGAGATATTTGTAAAACTATTATTTTACGTATTTTTTGCTTGAAATTGGAGACGAGAGACTAACTAAGCAGGAGAGCTTTAGCCACCCTGCTCAGTTAGTCTCTCGTTCTAGTTGCGTGCGATCCCATCGTTAAGTTTTGTTTCCCTACCTTCCCCCGCTGGGGGACAACTACTTGAGTTTATAATTAATAAAGATTGTATTACGTGAATTAAGGTCGATAATTTGGAGTTTTCATTGCAATCAAAAAGGAGAAAGGATCGGAATAATAGGGAAAAATATCTTGTGTCGTACAAGGTTAAACATCTGTTATAATTTCATATTGGGCACCCTAAAATCCCTACCCCCTCCCACCTCCCCCTCGCCGGGGGAAAATCACACCCGTGAAGATTGCAAGGGACTGGGGACATGGCAGTCTGTAGACATTCCCAGAAGTCACCAGAAGCAGCGTACGCGAGAACAAACATGGCGGACGCTTACGAAGGAGTTAGTCGTGGTTCTTTGAAACTAAAAGGAGTAGCAGATGGAGGCGTAAAAAAGTAAGACTTTTCTTGAATGTTACTAGTTGTCGACCTTTTTATGCGCGTGTACATGAAGATGTATATTACTCCATGGGAACTTGAGCAGTTGAACGAGTTTTCACGTGCTGGCCGGATCGAACACTAAGTTTTATGACTTGCATTTTTGAGTTAGTTGGCGAAATTCGCGATGAAAAGAGTCGAATTTTTCATAGAATTCTGAAGTGCGAATGCAGTTGCTGTGAAAATCTGAAGTAGGTTACAAAACTGGAATTAAATCGCGATAGAGTTCACACTAGTTGTCAAAGAAGTAGTCAGAACTCGTGGTATTGGTCCTAAAGAAACTGTGGGGCTCCATCGGCAGGCAAGTGAAACGCTTAGTTATTTATCAACTTTAAGTTCATCATCATCATTTCCTTATACACCCGGGGAGTGATTACTGGTGAATTAACCCCGTTGTGAGTTGGTAAAGCGGACGTTTCGAGTTTATAGCCCTTAGTCACAGCAATAAATTAACCCTTCATCACTTTTCTCTAACGAAAGAGTAAGGTTCAAAATGTCAGCTACCTTTATTAACTTCAAGTTGATAAACACACGTAGATAAGTGTGTCAAAGATGTATGGTAGTGGCAGAGGTATTTTTCAGAATACCACCATTTGCTTGCGGTTTAGTAGATTCACTCAAGTTTACTTGCAGTTAGCTTTTGTTTGTTTAGGACAGCATTATATTGCATATGGCCTTGTCCAACAAATAAAAGCTTACTGCAAGCAAATATAAGTGCATTCCGCGTTCTGCAAATTACCCCTGCCGG